TGAGAAACAAAATTTTGTTCATAAATGAATGTATACATTTTGATAAGTTTTAATCTTTTGATCTCTGGAAACATGACTAGAATATAAGTTTATCATGATATCTTTTAAAATATTTCAAAAGATTTACTCAAAGAAATGATGAAAACTCATTTTTCTAACCAATCACCATGCATGCAATCTGCCAGATTTCTTTACCTGACTTTAAACTGTCATATCTCACTCATTTCTTAACCAAAATTCGGGATTCTTTTTCTGAAATATAATATTTTGAGTTAGCTTTCAAACCCATCTGACCTCACTGGAAAATTCAAATATTTCGATTTTTAGCAATTTTTACAAAACTGTTGCTCAATCAGCACCTTTTGTGAATACTAGTTTTGTATTGCATGTTCAAAGATCTTATTCATCACTAAAAATCAAGGAAAAATTAACTTGAGCACTTAACATCATGTATTAAGAGGTATAAAAATATCTTGATTCAAAAGCCTTTGGAACATGTTGCAAAATTCTCAAAGTAACATCAATAATTTTTACCAAAATCACAAGAATCAAGTTTTCTCTATAATTGTTTGAGCCTTTAGGCATGTTTTTCGATATCAAAAATAAGAAAACAATTTTTCATTGTTATTAAATTGTTTGAAGTTGCATTCTGGAAATTTTCAGCTCAATATATATTTTCTTTATTTTTACATGAAAATAATAATAAAATAGAGTGTTAAAGCATATAAAATACTTAAACTTGTAAATAAATTCTGGAAATATTTGTGGATGACCCTTTAAGTTAATAAACATCTATCATAAAGTTTCATCGATTTTTGTTACTGTTTAGTATGGTTTTTAATTTTCTTTTTATTTAGCTCTAATAAATCATAAAACCACTTTAGGGAATGTGAAAATATTATTTCTTATCTTTCGCAGCTTGTACCCTATATTTAAGACTCAGAAAAATATTTTGGGAATTGTTTAAAGTGTATATCTATTTTTCCATGATTTTTGTGTTTTTAATGGATTAAAAACAGGAAAAATAGTTTTACTCATCCAAAATTCATGAACATTTACCAGAAACTCTTATAATTTGTTAGGATGATACATAAAAATTTTGATGATTTTTATCTTCTGTATGCTATTTTTCTTCTATTTTCCCAAGATTTAATACACTTAAATATACAAAAATCAGAAAAATTGTGTTAAACTTTTTGAAAACACATATTAATATTTTTCCTAGATTATGTACACTGTAAAATAGTTACACAAAAATTACAAGAATTTTTCATGATAATTTACTATTTTTCCATGATTTTATGATTATTCATGGAATTAAATGGTGAAAAATAGTTAGACAAATCAAAAATTCAAGAAAATTTATCTTAAGGTGTTTGACTTCAATTAAAAATAAAATACAAAGTTTGGGAAAGTTTAGAACTAAATCAATTTCGTTTTGAATATTTAATCATTGGAACACCTCTAAAATGTTAAATATTAACATTTCAATAATGGAAATTTTCCACTTAAATAATTATATAACAATTGATTCTTTGAAACTTAATTTCCACAGAAAAATGTTTGTAACTTATCAATATTAAATTTTGACACATTATTGGCATAATTCTATTGTAGTAGTAAGTATACTAGTGTTAGATTTCGATTAGAGACTCACTAGCGAATACCATTATTGTAGGAATCGGTAGTGGTACACGTGGAACGTAGTTCAAGGCACATTTGCTCATCTAAATGCATTGTGAGTATTCACGCCCTCCCTATTTTCAGTTTTTATGTTTGGGGTGGAAAAGCATGTCCCGAAAAACTATTATTTGAATGTTGTATTTAAATTGATTTGTATCAACATGATTGCTATTTAATTTCTATGTCTCTCTATGTATGTCTATGCAACACGGAACATGAGAACTTATCGTACTAAGGCCCTTCCCTTATCTCTAACCATTAACTCTTTGAAGCCAATGGTCATTATGGATAGCGCTATTAGGAATTGACAACTCCTCACTCGCCCTATTGCTGGAGTGCATGATACCATATTCATCTATGGAACGATAAGCATAGATCTTGATAGGGCTTCAGTCATAGGTTTGGTTGAGACTCATTGTTTGCTCATACACATACAAACTCGTTTCTCGTTATAGCAATAAACTTGTTATTAATTATAGCAATGAACTTTGTTTCTCATTACAACAACGAACTTTTATTACTGAAAACTTATATACATGTTTTAGCAATGAAATTGTTTGCTCCTTGTAGCAACGAAATTGATTGCTCATTTTAGCAATGAAACTTGTTACTCGTTTGAGTAACGAACTTTATCTTCCATGAGAATATGAATGTTGCATCTTATTTGGGCAACATACTTTATCTCTCATGATGACAAAGAACTTTGTTTTTACAAACTTATTTACTCATTTTAACAATATACTTTTATTATTGGAAACTTTTATCAAAACTTTGATTTCAATTCACGGAACCAATATTATTTTGTTTATCTGTGAGTACTCACCAACTATTTTTATAGTTGACGCTCGTTTTACATGCTTTTTCAGGAATCATCGAGTAAGTGGCACTTAAGGACACTTCACTTTTAGGAGCATTCGCATGTGTGTATTTCAATTTCAATTGTATTACTTTTAAAAGTTGTTCAAACCCATTGTGAATTTGTAATGATTTTTAATACTATGGTTGGTGTTGTCTTTTAACTTTTGCGATGAAACCCTTTGTACTGCCACGCCCTGTGTTTCCGCTTTAGCGGTGTGTGACATGTTCTAATGGATTCAAAGTACAACCGCTCAAGATCTGATACCAATTGAAAGCGCAAGACTTAGTGCGTGGACAGGATTTGAAAACTCAAACCTTGAATTAACTTAAGATCAATGTCTGCCACAATTATTTTAGTCCAGTCAAGTATGGTAAACCAGTATTGTCTTGAAGTATGAAGATCAACAAAGTACACAACAAAATATTTAAGTAAAAGTAAAGTAAGTATGAGAAAAGTAAAGATAACTTAAGAACAAGAAGAATGTTGAAGAAAGAGATTTGGCTTCCAAGATATGTTGTATTTGATGTGATGAGAATATTGCTACTTCAAGTTTAAAATGCATGGTAAAACGTCTCCTTAAATAGGAAAGGAGAGACAATAAGACAAAATACAAGACTTACATAGAGAATGTAAATTTGATAATTCAGAAAAGCTGACATATGTGATTTACTCGATTTTGTCCTATGAACAGTTCAATCAATAAAAACAAGAAAGAGCATTTAATGCTTGTAAGGACTCTGTTACATCAAAAACTACGAATGTCTCGGATAAGTATTTATCTCAGAAGAACACTGACTTCGGAACTCTTCACATATCAGAATGCTCTTGACTTCGGTTTTGGTTTGGCTTCGGATTTCTAGAGGTTTAGTTTTATGTATCAACAATATGAAGCAAAGAGGATAGTAAGTCGGAACCTATGTCGATAATGATGATAAATGGAACTTAATTAACTAATAATTAGTGTATATGTGAAACAAGGAATAATAACAAAAACACCTCAATAATGATGAAATGGTTATTTTTTAGAGAGAGAGAGAGAGAGAGAGAGAGAAAGAGAGAGAGAAAGATAGATAAATAGATAGATATTTGACAACGACAGTTTAGTAATCAAAATGTTTTTTGGAGTATAAGATCATATGTTCAATAGATACCATCGTGTTTGATATCAGTTACTTTGAGATTATTGACATTTTACCAATATGTCCTCCGTGTTATTAATTAGACTAATTTGTCACGTTTAAAAAAATTAGTGGCTGGGAATTGTTTTCGCGTTCAAAAAAAAAATACTTGTTCTCATTTTAACATGTATATATATATATATATTATATATATATATAGATTATATATATATATATATAGATATATATATATATATTATATAATATATATATATATATATATATATATAGGGTTAGGTTATTTTCTTTCTAGTAACTATTGTGTGCCAGAATGCACAGATCTGGACCATCAGATGGAACATAATCAAAGGTCATGATCTGAGTGTCTATGATAGTAGAATAGGATAACATATACCATATAATCACACAAATTTCAGCATAAGGGCATTTTAGTCAATTAACCTATATTAAAAAAGGAAACTTTCGGATTTTTAGGGATAATAAATTCCTTTATTTTTAAAAATATGAATATTTTAAATTAATTAAAAATTAAAAATCCGATTTTATTCTGTGAGAATGATAGAATGTTAACCATAAACTAGTAAATATATTTTTCGATTTTATTCTGTCATAATGACAGAATGTCAACCATAAACTAGTAAATACATTCTGAAAAGAATACAAAAAATCAATTCTTGAACTAATAATATACCAAATAATTACATTGTATGATTGTGATTCATTGAATATAACACTATTCTGAAAGAAAAAAGAAAAAAACATCAAAATCTAACAAAAACACTAATCTATTCTGAGAGAATATTATTTTTTAGCAACACTTATACATTGGTAGCATAAACACATTCTGGTATAATACACTCTCGTTCTCTATGTTTTCTTTCCTTCTCTCCACATCAATGTTAGCCTCTTCAAAACTAAATCCACAAAGAAAACATAATCAAGTTTCAAAAATTAAAAAATTCAATGCATTCTAAGAGACTAAAAACTATAAATTCTAACAGAATGTATTAAAGACTATAAAGTTTGAGAGAATATATTATAAAATAAAAACTATAAATTCTAACAGAATGTAGTAGAGACTATAGAGTCAACCATAAAGTATCACAAATTCATTACCAATTACACAAATATACTTGTTGTTGACAATTATTCTCAAACATTCTAACAGAATACATTTATAGAAAATAAATTCTAATAGAATACATTACATAATTCAAGAGCTGTGATTGAATACAGAATTCAAGAGTTGTGATTGAATCATCAACACACATCTGCATTCATTCCCAGTCATGAATTCAAGAAACAAACACACATTTAGATTATCGATTTAGAAATATGAACACCAATTTTGACTTTTTCGAAACAAAATTCAACTTATGATTGTGAAGTGCAAGTTGTATCAGAATATTTCTTGAATCGAACAGAAATAAACCATTGAAGAAATCGAATTTAATAAGATGATGAACACAATCTTGATCTTGAATCAAAATCGAGATAAAATCAATCTCGATTGAGGTAAATAATTTCCAGTTATATCCCCTAGTTGTTGGATTACCGGACCAGAGAAAGAAGAACAGGAGGCTGCAGGAGCATACCTCCGTCCAAGTACCTGCAATCGCCAAGATTTCCTGACCGTTCGCTCCTCGCTTCTCATTCGCGTTCACGGACCACACAGCAGCGCCACTGCTCCTCCGCCTCCCCTTCTTCAGCCTCATCGACCCCAGAGTCCATCATCGATTGCGAGACGAGAGTATGTGCTCCCTTTTGGATCTGTCGATTGTAGACGAAGAAGCAGAATCGGGGCATTTAGGCACACAATAGTTGCTAAAAACATTTGAACCTAGCTCTCTCTCTCTATATATATATATATATATATATATTATAATATATATATATATATATATATAGATATATATATATATATTATATATATATATATATATATGGTGAGGATCTGGTGAGAAACCAAAAAATGATGAGGACTGCGAAGACAATACTCCACTACCCACTTCGTCAAATGATACAAATGTCAAACCATTGCACATGACACGCTTGTATGCGGAACGTAATTCAAACTCGATGATTTAATCACATGTGACGAACGTCCATGACACTCCATTTAAGTGAAGTTTTCTCTTTAATTTCATTTTTTTATATTATTTTTTTAAAAAGAAATTTTAGATGTTTTTAAATATATTCTTACATGATTTTCACTGTTTTATTTTATCTTTAGTTTTTTTTTCATGATTTTTTTATAGTTTTACTATATATTTGAAGTTACTAGTGTCGTTTTTCTTTTAGTTTTTATTTTTTGATTTTTTTATGTTTTATTTTTTTGAACTAAATATCGGTTCGAATTTTTAATGTTTAACTATTATAAAAGTTTTGAATCATAAAAATATTAAGGATCATAATATTTCCAGTTTATACTATTTTTTTATCATTTCATTTTTGGATCATAAAATTCTCCATGATAGTATTTTCTATAATATCATTTTTTTAATCACATAATTTTGGATCATTAATATATTCAATTAAATAAAGTTTTTATTCATAACAAATTCTGGATAATTATACTTTGTGAATCATTTGATTTTGAATCATAAAAGATAATGATCATAAAATATATGAATCAAAATATTTTTAGATCATAACAAATTAAGTATCATTAGCATTTTCAATAATAACTTTTTTTAATCATAAATATTTTTAATCACCTCAGTTTAGATCAGTATTTTCAACAATTTAAAAAAAAAACAACTTGTAATCTTTTAATATAATGTTTGATATCTAAATAACCTTATTTTATAAAATTTCATTCTAAAAAGTTCATAATATATGATATAATAAACTTTTAAAAAGATTTTTAATTTTAAAACGAAAATATTCACGTCTTCTTTATTATAAAAACTTAAAATCTGCTAAGTATGTTGGGGTCGAAAGTGATTGTGAGATGTCGAAATCGTCTAATTCATTCCATGTGTCGAAAGTCAGTTTGTAATGTTTATTATAAGGGCATTTATGTTTCAAAATTGTATTGTCGAGTCCCATATATTTTTTGTCTGCTTTTAGTATTCGTATAAATAGGGGATGGATACATGTTTAGAGGTAGCATGAATACTTTCATTGTACTCATTATATAACCGCTTGTATTCTCTGAAAGCAATATATTGAGCCAACGATATTATATTTGGATTTTGTGTTCTAAATATTTTCCTTAACTCTGATCTCGTGTAACATACTCGATCCAATCTACACTAGATTTGGTATCAGAGCAGGAATCATTATGTGTTTGATCTGAAAATCTTATTAGATCTTCAGTAGTGATTCAATTATGCGATTAGACTGTTTAATCGAGTGTTCGATTCCTGTTTTCTGGTTGATTCATATATTAATTTTCAAATTCCTGAAGCTTTTCTTAAAAACTTTTCGTACATCAATGGTGAACCTTAACATGAACACCATGACCTCCCTTTCTCATCTTCTAGGATCTTCTACGAAGATTCATATGTTAATTCCTGAGTACTACGATCAATAAGTTGATCGTATGTGTGACAACCCGAAACTTCTAACTTGTAAGATCAGTGATGTTATCAATATTAAACTCGATTTTACCGTCATTTAACACCGTTTTAAGGGTGTAATGATACTTTCTAAGCCTCGTATAACCAAAGGTTGAGTTCTAGGTCGAGTAATACCAAGTCGTAGTACAACATTCGGGCCATACACTCTCTCAGGAGGAGTGTACGTCCGTACACATGAGTGTGCGGCCGCACACCCACCCTCCAGCCGCACACTCACCCTTATATATATAAGGTGACCCCCTTCACTCACTCCTTTCATTTGGCTGCACTTTACTTCCTCTCTCTACTTTCTCTCTCTAAAAACTTCACCCAAGAACACTCTAAAGGCCTCAAAAACGTGAACTACTTCATCATTCAGCTTGTTATATTGGTAAGACACCTGAATCTAAGCCTAAAATTCATAGTGTTCTTCGTGTTCTTCATCCTTTGAAGGTGTACGGCCGCACACCTTCATAAGGTGGCCATACACACCTTAAAGACTCTCCAAAGTGAAGAGTTTGGCCTCCATTTACTAGTTGGACTTGGTATTAGCACTAGAACACCTCAAAATCAACATTTCGAGCACAAATGAGGAGCGTACAGTCGCACACCCCTCTGTACGGCCGCACACTCCCATGTACGACCGCACACACGTTCTGGCCGCACACCCTGGCCGCACACACACTCTTTTGGCCGTACACCTCCTTTGTTTGATCATATTGGGTCGCGACAAGCATATCCAAGTCTTTAGGGTGGTTTCCCATTATGTTTAGTCATGAAACACCCTAATTCTAACACACATATGTGTTATCACATGTTAATAGGATCGACTTACATACGAAACATCGGTTGACACTCAGCATTCGTAACCGATCATACACCCAGATCCTACGTCAAACGGTGAGTTCATACCCCTACGCTTTTCCGAGTTTTCATGTTTTCAGGGGGGAATACAAGCAAAAGTACAAGGAAACTTCTGCTCAAGTATATTATTTTGTTTAAAATAATTATATGTTCAGTATGCTTTTAACACAGAAAACAGTTTTACCAAATGATTAAGAAATCAACTAGTAGAAACAGTTTTCAAAACTAAAGCAAGGAACTTGTGAATCTTGTCATAAAATACTATAATTTGCAAAGGATTCCTACAAAACATAAACAGGATTTTCAGTATTATTACTTGTAAATTTGTTAGGCTAAGTTTTGAGACACGTCCTTGGTAGCACTCCACCGGATACGAGAGTGTAGGACTAACACTTGTAACCAGAATCTCTTGGAGGGAGAGCGTGACTATTGTGTATAGATCTATATGGGACTGACTATCCCGCACCTTCGCTGCTAGCTACAGCAGGACCGTTAGGTTCAGGGGTGACAAAGTCATAAAAAGATACTGGCCCCGTTACGTGCCTTATCCAGTCTAAGTACAGTTATGACACTCACAACTTAGGTAGCAAAAATTTACTTTTGTAATAATGAAACAAGTGAACTAACCTCAAAGTAATAACCGATTTGATTACTAGAGTGCATTAGTAATACCCTTAGGATCTAGTTTACTACTTATTTATTAGTTTTATTTATGTAATAATGCTAATACATCTCACCGAGAACAAACAGGGTTTTTCAAGGAAACTACATCTAACGATACAAGTATGGTAGATACTTGTACACCTCATTCCAGAACAGTTAACCAACTATCAACTTTTAAGGAAAATATAGGATTTTCCTGGGGATAACTCAACTTTTCATAAACAGGTTGTTAAACAAATAACGGTTGGATAGTCAAACATCTTTTATAAGAAAATATAGGATTTTCTTGGGAAATACTTTTCAAAGGATTAAAGAAACATTTCACATCATAACTAAACGCTTATGAACTCACCAGCTTTATGCTGATATATTTCAAGACTGCTTGTATTCTCAGGGAATTAGTAGACAGGTACTTTCAGGAGTTCAGAGAAGACGGAGCGTTAGAGTCACGTCTTTACTTTTGATATGAACAAAACTATGTATTAAACAATGTAAACCTTTTTCATGTATGTATTCAATGTCTGGTTGTGTTTAATATGCTTGCTATGATACAATTGTGTGATAGTACGCATGACGTCAATCACCCCCGAACGTTTCCGCCATTCCGGTTTGGGGGTGTGACAATATGGAGGACTACTTAAATGGAATTGATGAGGAACTATGGAAAAGCATCACTGATGATATTCATCCTCCTTCTGTTGTTCGTAGTGTTGGAACTTCTGCTACATATCCAAATGTTAATGAACAAAGTGAAAGATTTTTGAAAAATGAAAAGAGATTTATGCGAGAACTATGTGGTGCTCTTCCACCTGTCGTATACAATTATGTTCGTAGCTGCCAAACTTCAAAGGAGATCTGGAATACTTTAAAGGAAAAGTATCAGGGCAGTGAGAAAAAAAATAAGTACAGTCAAACATTGTCTGTTGGAATTAAGAGAGTTTAAGAAAAAAGAAGGAGAATCTATTGAATTGTACTACGATCGTCTGAATAAACTCATATACAAGTGCAATAGATATGGGATCACAATGTCGACCATGTAATGCAATCTCACATTCATTATGGGGCTTCACAAACAGTGGCGAAATGTTAGTCTCGTGATAAAGACTCAGCAAAGTTTTAATTATTTCTCTTTGAATGATCTTTACAATGTGATGAAAGCACATTAGAGTGAAGTTATCGAAATTGCTGAGGAATCGAAAAATTGTCTTGGTGGTCCACTTGCTTTGGTTTCGAAAGTTGCTGGAAGAGAAGTTGAAAAAGAAATAGCTGAAAAAGAGAATTTGGAAGATGAAGGCCTGATTGTTAACTCATAGGATGAGGTTGTAGCTTTTTACTCAAATAATCGGGTAAAGAAGTTTTTCAAAAAGCCTTTTAACTCAAAGTCTCGTGTGAGTGAAGCGAAAGAAGTTTTGCTGGTAAGTCTGGAGGTGAAGAGAAGAAAGTAGAGAAGAATGAGATCAAGTTTGAAGAAGCGAAAGTTGAGAAAAAGCATAAAGGCGATTCTGGATTCGACTGCCATTACTCTAATGGAGCGAATCATATGGCCAATGATTGCATGTTGCGAAAAAGGGATGAAAAAAAGAACAAGGTCAAAGATGAAGCTTATTACGTGGAGAGATTGGAGC